TCCTGCAAATCTATTGGGAAGACAGGTGGACAAATGTTAGCATTCTGGAAGACACAAAGACCACCAGCATTGAAGTGATGCTCCTCCACCATCAACTTTGCTGGACTGACCACGTTGTCTAAGTGCCTAATCACTGTCTCTCAAAGCAGATATTATACTCCCAACACAAGAACGGAAAACGTAATGTTGTTAGACAGTAAAAGATTTAAATTGGGCTTAAAGCTGACCTTAAAAACTGGCATAGACACCAAGAACTGGGAAGCCGTGGTCCTTGAGCACTCTGGCTGGAGGTCAGCTGTGACCAGCAGTGCTGTGGAATTTGAAGGGGAATGAATGGACAGTAAAAGATTTAAATTGGGCTTAAAGCTGACCTTAAAAACTGGCATAGACACCAAGAACTGGGAAGCCGTGGTCCTTGAGCACTCTGGCTAGAGGTCAGCTGTGACCAGCAGTGCTGTGGAATTTGAAGAGGAATGAATGGAGGGCAAAAGGGAGAAACATGCCAAGAGGAAGATGTGTCAAGCCARCCCTGATGGAGACCACCTTCCGCCTGGAGACTGATGTTCTCACGGTGGGAAAGCATGCTGATCAAGGATAGGGCTCCCCAACCACTTACGAACTGATTGCCAAGACACTAGACATGGAAGGTCATCATCCTTGGAGAACGAAGGATCACCTAAAGTTTGAAACCATGGCTGAAGGATATGGAATCACGGGAGTTGTAGGTTTACAGAGCCAAAAATTGCTGATTTCTTGCCAAAATAAAAAAATCCAATGAATCCATAGCAYTGAGCCATGGCAGTTTAAAGCGGTGTCAGACTGCATTTCTACAGTGTGGATGCAACCCAAGTTTCAACCTATTTTAATTTCCCAATCACAACATTGAAGGGAAAGCAATGACTTTGCTGATGCTTTTCTTGCATTAATAGAAGAAGGTAAAAAAGGTGGGGGGGGGGGGGGAATAGTGCATCTTCACTCAGTGTTGATTCAGTTTTGCAGTGCATCTTAACTCAGTGTTGATTCAGGTTGTCGGGACGGTGGATAACTGCACTTGATGCACACTGTGTGGATTATCATACAAAACGTGGCCCTGGAAGGAAAAGCCGCATAAGTGAGCTTGCTGCATTTTCCCCATTCAAAAGGGAGAGCCAGGCGCCCAGGCTGGCTTGATGCAAAGGAGGGATGCTTCGCCCTGAGCTCGTCTTTGCACAGCCGCCCATTCATTCATTCATTCATTCATTGAGTCATCGTCATTGCGCGGAGAGAGCGCAGCTTCCGGGAGATTACCAGCAGCAGCAGCATCCTCCGTTCCTCTAATGCAGACGCAGCATTAAACCAGCCACACACCCAAACTGGAAGAAACCTGTTCTGCCCGGATCTGCTCTCACAGTCGCGGCGGCGGCGGCACGAGCTCGAACCTGGAAGCGCGCGCACGCGGTGTCGGGGAAGACAGGAAGAGTGCGCGCATGCGTGGGTGTGCACAAGCTCGGAACTCGGCCGCTAGGGGGCGCTTCACAGGCGATGAGGAAGGCGTGCACTCCATTCTCTAGGACAGATACATCAAACTATATAAGTGTGTGCCTATGACTGTGTGTACACACACACACACACACCCTATCTATCAACTGTTATTAATTTCTCTGTGTATGTGTGTGTATATATACACACACATATAAACACACACATATATATATATATACACTACACACACATTAATAACAGATTATAGATAGGGAAGAGAAGAAGCAAAGACCGCCAGCATTGAAGCGATGGGCCTCCACCATCAACTCCGCTGGACTGGTCATGTTGTCCGGATGCCCGACCACCGTCTCCCAAAGCAATTGCTCTATTCCGAATTCAAGAATGGAAAACAGAATGTTGGAAAACAGGAAAAGAGATTTAAAGACGGGCTCAAAGTTAATCTTAAAAACTCTGGCATAGACACTGAGAACTGGGAAGCCCTGGCCCTTGAGTGCTCCAGTTGGAAGTCAGCTGTGACCAGCAGTGCTGCAGATTTTGAAGAGGCACGAATGGAGGGCGAAAGGGAGAAACGTGCCAAGAGGAAGGCGCGTCAAGCCAACCCCGACCGGGACCGCCTTCCACCTGGAAACCAGTGCCCTCACTGTGGGAGACGATGCAAATCAAGAATAGGGCTCCATTGTCACCACACACATGCACACATGCACAAATTAATAACAGATTATAGACAGGTAGTGTGTATCATCTATTATTAATTCTGGTGTGTGTATGTACACGCACACATATGCACACATACACACACACATTAATAACAGGTTGATGACAGATAAGTAGAAATTCTGTATGTATATACTGTATATATACACACATATATCTAGGATAGACAGTTAATGTCCTATCCTATTTAAATACTACATGTGTGTGTTCACTCTATAAATAATAGAAATCTTGTTCCCCCTTCTCTCTCTCTCTCTCTCTCTCTCTATATATATATATATACTTTCTAAAATAGACAGCTAGA